GATTGTTTCCCCCCCCCGCCCCCCCCCCCCCACATCCCATGTCTTAAATCATTGTTTCATTACAGTACTCTCCTTTTCTTGGCAAAGGTTTCACTAGATTATACTGAGTGTTTTGTCACATTTTGAATTGCATGTTGTTTCCAGTTTTCTATGGTTATTTCTGGATGCAGGTGTAGAAGTGCGGTCTTGTGTGCCTTTCTGAAATCCCTTTTTCAGTGGAATTTGTCTATTATCTCTGGAGAACTTTTGCTTAAGGCCTCTCATCTCTTCCTTTCTCCCTTGCTTCTTCTTCTCCTTGTAAAATATTGGAAAAGAGTGCCTAGGACACCTTTCCCTTCTTGCTTTTCTTTTTTTAAATTTTGATATACAAGTTTCAGTCCATCCACACGTGATGCCATTGTGTAGACATCCCTCGTACAATTACAACAATATTTAGGGGCTATTAATTGGACCCGTCCCTATTTTGGCATTACTACACACATGCTCAACCCCCTGTTTGATGTGTTAAAGGGAGGAACCACTCCAGGGGATAAAATTACCATTACAGATCATCAATTAAAAATCACCCAGGACATATAGCACATTATGCAGAAAAGGTGGGTCAACCGATGTCACAACAATGCTCCTATTTCCTTAATCTTGCTCAATACACCCCCTCCTTACCTACTGCTGTATTAACCCAAAAGTCTCAGCACACTAGCAACCTCCTTATCTTAGAATGGATACATCTTCCTCAACACTCCTAAAAAATCTCTAAGTCTGTTAAAACTGGTTGTTGAAAATGCAAATGAGGATTGAAAGAGGATTCTGCAGCCTCTATCTGCCCGAGGGGGGGCTTCCCTCTCGGACTATCTAAAGGCTTGCAGAATCGTGGGAACTGAGGACCATGATTGTTTGTTGCAAGTAGGTGGATGGGTCAAGCAGGGTTGAAGAAGGAAAGAGGAAATCAGGATTTGCAGTCATGATAGGAGCAGGGGAGGTCATAAAAGGGCTCCCTCCCTTCCTTCATGGTCTGCGCAGAAATGTGAGTTGTTAGGATTGGAAACCTGAGGAAAAGGAGAAAGATGAGTTGGGAAACTGAGAAGGGGTGAAGGTGGTTTCTGTGAATGCAAAGTATGTTTGAAAGTAAACAAGAAAGTAGCAAGGAAAAAAGAAATGGGAGGGCGACCCCTGATGGGCTGGCCTTTCCAGAGAACACAGATTGATTTCATCGAAGTACTAACTCCATACGCATAAAATGCTTTCAACTACTGCCTATCCTTCACTTCAGTCTCTGTCTCTAAAAATCTTCTCTCTCTTTTTGTTACATTGCAACACCTTGTTGCACAGCACCAGCACCCGCTCTTTGTAGCACACATTCGCAGCCACCAACCCTTCCCAGGAATTCTCCAGGAAGGCAATGATATGGCTGATGCGGCAGCCGCAGCTGCAACCGCAGACAGCGCCATCTCTTGCATGATTCTTTCACAACAAACACCCTGGGACAGTCATAGTTATTTTCATCAAAACAAAAAAGCCTTGGCCAGACAGTTTAAATTCAAATTTAAAAATGTCACAGGGTTGCCAGGACTCCAGAATGCATTGAATGTTTGCTTGTTTACTCTTAACTTCCTCAATGAGTCCGGATCCCCCCCATGCACAGCAGCATCACGTCATTTCGCTTCCTCGCCTCATCTTGAACCCAGACCAACGGTATCAGCTTCCAGATCCTCAGTGGAAAGGTCCTGCTGAACTTATAACCTGGGGACGAGGGTACGCTGACAACAACAACACCATCTGGGTCCCTGGACGACAAGTAAGGCCTTTTCTACCCAAACCAGCCTTGCCTACATCAGCATCATGAAACTGCCCACTGTATTCATCATTTGCTTCCTGGGTTTCCACATCGTTCCTGCTGATACGACAACCACCCCATCCTCCTGCGATGCCTGCATCAAAACTACTCGCAGCGGAACGAAGACCCAGTCCACCCTGATCTATCATACTTTGAAACGTGAATGCAACTCCACGACAATCTCCCCTTGTTTGCATAACAACACTCAATATGCACGATGCTACACCAAACAAGGTATCCAATGCTACGAACCAAAGGCTGTGGGGCCCATCACCGCCTCACTGTATGTCTATGCCTACAAAGGAGGATCCAGCTCTGACCTTGCCTCAATGTTCTCTACCAGTCAAGCAAAAAATGGGTACATTACCCATAATGTCATTCGGGGGGTTACCAACACTTTTGTGTGTTTTGATGCTTGTTTTGCCATCAACAAAGGCCAAGGTCCTAACGACACTGCAGGAGTCACCTGCGGCTCACACAGCTGGCAAAGATCTTATCTACAGGAAAGGAAATATCTCTTCCAAAAGGTGTCCGGGACTAACGTGGGGGCCACCACTGTTTACAACTACTGATACACCCCACCTATTGACTCTGCTCAAGTAAGAGGCCCTCAAAATATTAATATCACTGTTAAATCAAGCTCTACTTCATGTACCACTGACAAATGTAATCCTATTTGCTTGTACACTCACTTACCTGAAACAAGAGGGTACCATACCTCCACATATATATGCTCAATAGAATTATAAGGTTGCAAGCTGTATTAGAAATTATAACCAATGAAACTGCTCTTGCTTTGAAAACATTAGCTAAAGAAAGTGCATTGTCTAGAACATATATCATGCAAAATCGTTTGGTGTTAGATTATCTCCTTGCCAAAGAAGGAAGAGTGTGTGGAAAATTTAACCTTAGTAATTGTTGTATTGAAATAGATGATAGTGGAAAAGTTATTCAACAAATCACTGATAGAATGATCAAGATTGCGCATGTACCTGTACAAACATGGAATGGTCTTGATTTTAGAGACATGTTTGGATCCTGGTTCCCAAAATTACCTGGTTTGCAAGCTATTGTAGCGCTTATTGGTATGATTGCTGCAGGATGTATTATATTGCCTTGTGTATTACCTATCTTTGTACGCACTATTTCTAACAGTTTATCCCTCTTGGCTGAGAAAAAAGCCACTGCACAGGTAATGGCTCTCTGGAATCAACAAATAACTAACACATATCCAAAGACGAGATGGGAGAGCCAACCTGTGATGACCCAGACGAGGACAAGATGTTTGTGATGGTCGAAGAAGTCACGAACGCCATGGATAACATCAGCATACACAGCACTCTTGCCTACGCGCCTAACAAAGGCTGCTGTTGGAACTAAAACATTCCCTGTCTTTTAAAAAAAAGAAAAACAGAGGAGATGTGGGAATTGCTATCTGTTTCCTCGCGCGCGTGCAAGGACAACGGGCCTTCTGGTAGTTGTTTGTAACACGAGGCGAGGGACAAGGTCGAAATGTTGCCACTTCTTACCCAGAATTGTAGCAAACTTAAACTTTACAGCTTTGTATTCTCATATGGTATTTTGTGTGATGTAATGAGTTTGTAACAACACACTAACAAAAAATTGCAAACGTTAACAAAGATTGCTTCTAATAAAAGAGGGTGTCAGAGCCTGCCCTGGGCTCTCATCCCGATTTGGCTTCAAGACGACTGCCTCAGTGTCTTCATTCATGAGAGACCACCATAGTATCCATTGTTCCAATTTGTCCATTGAACATATCTGCTCAAGTAGGCAGTTCTTTGCAGTGATTTTAGGAATAGATTCTCAACACTACAAACTGCAGCCCTTTTTAGCTACAGTTAATAGCAGTGTGGGCCTTCTGCACACACACGGAGTGCTCTGTCATAATATGCTTCAAAATATGGCTTCCCCAACAACTTCAGAAGATTGCCCATCAGAGACCTGAGACTTACGTATCATATTTGTTTACAAATTGTCTCCAATGCAGAAGTCTTCCTAAATGTTTCCAGAATTTCCTGAAATTGCATTGTTGAAACTTAGAAACAAATTGCCATTAAATCAAGATATAAGACCTTGTTGATTTTTGGCAATTAGTGAAATAACTTGTTTAAGTCAAACACGCCTATTGTAAAAGGAAAAGAAAGTCATTATCATCAGCCAGCAAAATTTTCAGTTCACTGGGACTTTGCAGAATGACATAATATATAGCTTCTGGCTGTCAAAAGGTTGCCACCTTGCTTTAACTAATGTCATCTTACAACTGCAATGGAGTATCCTGCATTATTATGAAGATCAGATATTAGCTTAGTAGAATGTGTGTTGGTGTTAGGCTTGCTTATGGTTTGTTTGTTATTAAACTTATTATATCATCTACCAAGTTTGCTTGTCTCAGTATTGCTTGTTATCTTTTGTTTTAGAATGTAACAAAGACAGTGGAAGAAGCAAAACCTAAACCTCCTACTATCCAACAGCTGAAAGAGATGATTAGCAATTACAACTCAAAAGTCAACAATTGCTTGCTGATGAAGCTGGTTGGTATTGCAATTCTGGATATTTCCTACTTTTGTTATGGTGGCTCTTAAAACTATTTTCCCTTTCAGCATTTATAATGGGAAGCTTGGCTTAAGTTCTGGGGGAACCTATCTGTCTACTACTCTAGGAGCCTCAGAAAAAGGTGGACATCTCCATCTTTAATAATTGAAATAACAATTAAATCCTGTCTCCTGTTAATTGGCATTGTCTATAAAAAGAATAGCCAAGTTTAGTAGGCTGTGCAATAATTTGGATTCAAATGTGAAACAAATTATGCCTTCACCATATATTTGCAACTTCTTCAACCAAATGCCTCTTTTCCTGTGATCACCCTGTAGTGCAGGAACAGCTGTAGAATATCATGAAAAAGTGTGGTAGCTTTAAGGAGTGCTTTGTATGTCCTTGCACCCTTTGAACCACATTTTGCCTTCAAGTATGAAGTGTTGCACATCCTAATGTTTACTTTCTGAGCTTTGATAAGAAGAATGGCCAGACCAGTTTAACTATCTAAAGTAAAAGTGCTGGTGTTTTATGAGTTATGAAATTTAATAGTTTTTCTCATGACTTCCTCCCTTCTCCTCTGTAGCCTTCAGTAACATGATGAGTGCAAGGACACATTGGTTGTTTGCATGACTTGCATTTGGATTTTCTATTATTTCATGAATCCCTTATAGGCCTTTGGTTAGGATTCTGCTAGTCTGCAACAGATCATAGCAGGAGGCCACCTTATTGAGGAACTCAGATAGATTTTAAATAAAACAAATATTTGTTGTTTATACCTGAACCAAATAGTTTTCATCTGGATTAAAAAGCACTAGCTCTATTCCCCAAGGTTAAGCTGTCTCCCAGGGTTGCGGTATAAGAGAACAGGATGCAAAGAAGATAGATAAATAGGCATAAATCCTTGCTTTAGCAGAGAATTGGCTATACTTCTAACATTGAGTGTACTGTATGTTCCCATAGCACTGATGTTACTGAAATTCTGTGGGATTGGTACACAATTTATTAGCACAAATGAGCAATTTTGGCAGGGATCCTCTTTTAAAGATCTGGTTTATTTACTTTATTTTAATCATGGTTCACAGGGATTCTGATTAAAGCATGATTTTTAAGAGGCTGATCCAAAGGAAAAACACTCTTTGAACTGAGGAGGGTTTGAAGGTATCTCTCTTATCAGCTGAAGTTTCCTCAACCTGCTATTTAAGTGATTTGAGCCATATAGCAGCTGTGGGGTGACTGTTCTGTAGCTAATTTGAGTCTTGCAAACATTCTGTAGTGTCTGCAAATGTTCTCTGAATATCAACTAATGATTTTACCAAAAATAGCTATGCCTGTATTATTTTAGATATTTGAATTGAGAGAAATCCAACTCATCACTTCACAAAGTGGTTCAACATCTGTCTCAGTTGCATTTATGGAAGAACATTTTTTTCCAGCACAGAATAAGTATCAGCCAAAATGCAGAGAGTTTGATAAATTCCCCTTTAGTGTGCATTCTTATGTTTTTCCCCCTTCATCATAGACAAATCCATTTGGCGGGGGTACTGTTTTTCTTATTCAATCCAAAGTATCCTGGATAACTTTCTGATTAATTAGATAAACCAAAGTTATCTATTTATTTAAAGACCTGCATTCTGTCTTTGTAAAGAAAACAACTTGCCACAAAGCATTGTGTGTCTTAAAATACTCCAAAGAAGAATTAGAAGAACACTGCAGCCAAATAACAGACTACGAATCATTGACATTGACTCTCCCAGCTGTGGCTTGACCTTGCTGCCCTTCTGGAGTAGCCAGCTCCTGAAATTGAAAGTGAGATGAAGTAAAAGGACTGCATTCCTTTGCACACCACCTTCCCTCCTAAAAAAAAAATCAGCCGTAGAAACAAGGCAGTACCAAAAGAACTGGAGCAAGTGAAATAAATGAACAAAGTATTCACATCTCGATTCTAAAAAGAAAATAAAAAATTGTACCTAGAGGAATCAAAAACCACGGCTAGACCAGACTTTAGAATTACAGGTCATGTATTGAAACCAGAAAATCCCAGTGATTTTAGTGGATCTTCCCCAAGTGTAAATATGAATGGATTCAACAAATGAAGTGTTAATTAGAAAAGGGTGGTGAAACTGGGTACTGTATATACTCGAGTATAAGCCTAGTTTTTCAGCCCATTTTTTGTGCTGAAAAAATCCCCCTCGGCTTATACTCGAGTCAGATTCCCCTCTGAAAAAAAAATGGTGTGGAGTCGCGGCCTCCGGCGGCAGCGACTCCCAACAGCCCCAGCCGGGAAGGGAAAGGC